ATCCAATCCAATCCAATCCAATCCAATCCAATCCAATCCAATCCTACCCTATCCTCTTTCACTAAATCTTGATAAAGAAACTCTGAAGAATCTGACCTTTTGTGGAGGTGGACAGCCAAGAAGTTGACCTCAGCAGTCAAGCCATCTGGCAGAACCTTCGTCCTCCCCAGCCCATGTGAGGGGGAACAATTGGTGGATGTTTTTCCCCACAGCTGGTGACCCCTTGCTATGCGTTAATTGCCCACAGTAAATTGTTAGAACAGCACTACTCTCCAGCCTCATTCTAGACAAAGTAGAGATCAGCTACTTAGACAGAACATATTATGCCAGATTACTTTTGTGCTACCTCCCAGACTGGAGGAAAGCACATTAAATTGGTTGTCCTAATACACTTCTATGTTTTGTACTTAATCGGCTTGAAGAAGGTTGTGAAGAACTTCAAACTGTGCTCCCTCTTTTGTGACATTTTGATGGGGTAAATAAAAGGATTTGCTCAACATCAGAATGTAGAAGTAAATTAATTAGGAAATTAATTTTTTTTTTGTGCAAGTCCGAAAAATGTTCTGTCTTCTCATCTGTCAGCTCACTGTTACTTATTTATTGCAGAATTTTAGGTACAAAAGATAAGTTCTTATTATGCAACTTATAGGATTTTTTTTAAAAAAACGAAAGAATGTCTGGCATACACTTTCAGTGATGGATGCCTTCCAGATGTCAATATAAAAATAATTTCTTGTGCTTTCTACTTTGCCCCTGTAGCCTGCTAGCTTACTATTTTAGAAAATTGCTTTCCTTATACAACATTAACAATAATTTTGATTTAATGGTATTTTGGAAGGCTACTATGTAGAAGAAATATGCATTTGTTAAAAATGTAGTTCTTGAATAATTTGGAGAAGGCAAAATGCCTCAAGGAAGCCAGAATTGCATCTGAATTATATTGTGGTAGAAAACATGTTCTAAGTTTTCTCCTGAAACAGGACTTCATTCGTGAGACCTCTGGCAAACATTTTGAGAGCTGGAATGTTAATGGTTAACTCCTGAACCAAATGAAGAAGGAATGAGTTGCAATAGGTTTATATATATATATCAGTATGAAATGAATTATGAGACTGTTTACACATGAGCAGAGGGACTACAGCTACAGGACAAGCATGTTGGGATAATGCTGTACATGTTAACAACCCATTATTAGTAGTTATAGCCAGATGGTTATCATGAGTCCCCACATTTTTTTTAGTGAGGACAGTAATAGTTAAAGTCATCGTTGTCATTGGGGAGATCCAGGTTCTAGTCCACTCTCAGCCGTGGAAGCTCATGGGGTGACTTTGGGCCAGTCCCTCCCTCTCAGCCCATCTACCTCCCAGAGTTGGGAGTATGAAGCTCTGCCTTGAGTTCTGGAAGAAAAGGTGGGATTAAAATTTAACAAACAGTCTGACAGATAATTACCATGGTTAACAAATATGAACATGTAAAATTTCATGTTTTGCTAGCTAAGGTATTTCCTAGAGAGGGTGCTAAAAATGTGTTCTATTTTACTTAAGCAAGCCACAATTTTTCAGCTATTTTAATATCCCTACATGGGCTAGTAAATGAGGAACAACACTGTATCCCGCTTGGCTCTTTCATGATTCTGTATGTTTTCTATGCAGAACAATTACTGTATGAAGAAATGAAAATTGGATTTAGTAAATATGCAAGAGATATTTTCTATACAGTAAATTATTTGTCAAGATCTTTTAGCAAATTATTATTTCAAGGGTTGATTTCAGTAAAATTTCTTCACAAAAGTTGAGTATGAAAATTTATTTATTTATTTTAAAGATGTATATGGCTACTCATCTTATACAACATAACCCAGGGTGGCTCTCAACAACATAACAATAAAATAAAAACAAACCCCAAAACGCACAAAAAAATAAAACCATTTTACACAACCAAGACATCATAACATTCTTATCCCAAATATACATGCTCTGGGCTTAACTCCCAGTCATTGCCTCTCAGTGTAACTTTCCTCCCAATTTTTGTAAAGATAAGACATCTTACAATTAGTCCCCATTTTAGCTATAGTTAAACTGGAATACATGAGCCATTGCATCACAATTTATCTTGAAGGAAATATATACATTTAGTGAGTTGATAAGATACTGGCCTTTAGGAACTGGACTACTAAAGGAATCTCTTAAATATTCTCTGTATAGAAAATTAAGGATGCCTTCCTCTTGCTTTGAAACTTCTGTATGTTCCATTAGACAACTCATTTTTTCCTGACCTCAAGCAAAGAAGTTTGAGACCTACTTTGGGAAAGTTAGACAAGATGAGAATGAGAATCCATTAAAGAAGAGAAGATACCTTAGCAGCAATTATATACGGAGAACCCTTTTCAGATAAGGATATAAGCCCCTGTCCAGTTCGCACACTAGAACTGATATATCTAAATTGTAACTTTTCATTGGCCACAAATTTTGATATAATTAAACTTGCAATACAACCTAAGCACCATAATCCTGAATGATAAATGACTGAAAGGATTGTATCATGAGGACTTGTAAACATAGAGTTCAGTCTTCATGTCTTTACTTAATCTGATCTGACACATCCTTTGTTTCTTATTGAATAACAACTGAACAGTGAGCCTTCACTGTGACATTATTGTTTAATTCATCAATTTATCAATTGCACATTTTAATCAATAAAATAAACATTATGAAAAGAGAAAGACTATGCCTTTGTTATCTGCCTGGGCTGACTTTCTTCCTTCGTACATGATTCAAAGCCCAGGTAAATAATAAATTGCACTGTGATTTAATTTTATCTTGTATCAGTCTTTGACATGTATCATATGTTCTACATTGCAATTTGAAGTGTTGCCCTTAACAGTGGAGATTAAGTGTGTAGTTTAGTAAACCTGAACTCTGTCCAGGATTTACATTTTGCTTTATAAAAGCTGTATAGCTCAGTAGTTAATTATATGGCTGGCTGCTCTCAGTGCTACCAAATGATCACAGTTCAGCACACTTCATATAGGCCACAATGTTAACGTTTATAAACAGATGAAAAAACAATTGTCAAATGTCTCATTGGAACAAAAATTTACTTTATCCTCCTTTGTTAGAATTAGCATTATTATTATTACATCTCCTAAGAGGTCCTGTCAGGCTTATAGTCAAGCCAAAATGGCAATTTTCTCCATTGTCATCCTCCCACACCCATTATATATAATCTCATTTAATTCTTTCTCTTTCAGTGAAAAAGAAAAGAAATTGGCACAAACATGACACTGGTCAAACAACAGAAGTAAAGCCTGTCCAGAATGGTAGTCAGGTGTTTATCAAAGAACTTCGAAGTCGTACATTCCCCAGGTAAATTGCTAAGATTATTCTTGTGTCATTAATGTTAAAAGAAAGGTTTGGGTACAGATGGGTTGTCCTTTGTAAATCTATATAGCCAGTAAACCTACAGATCTTGGTCTCATAGCTTTCTCCATAATTTCCTAATGCAAACAAATCCTCCACTCTGCTTATTGATAAATATTGGGCAATATTTGATCCTTACAAAGCCTGGAACAGTTCCACAATGGTGGGTGGAAACAGCATATGATATACAGTACAGCTAAAAGAAATACGTAACGTAAATTGCTTTCACGTTTGGGACATTTAACACTGCTGAGGCACTGCTTCTCCACAGTTGGAAACAAAATTAACATGGCGGTTATTTCACTTAAGATATTTACTCTACCATTCGTATGTTCCTCAAAAAGATTTCACTTCATTCAATTATATGACAATGTCCTGCCAATTGCCAAATTTCTTCTGTGATTAACAAAATATAATTATCTTGCAATATTAAATATCCATGGCCAAGATCCTTCTATAACATTTACTTACAAAAATACTGTTCAGTAAAATCTGTTGCATCTTTAATTAGATTATTTTGAGTCTCTAACTGGCTTATATTCATATGGTATACACTAATGGTAAACAAAATAGCTCAATTCCATAATATTAAAAAAAAGGTGGGGGGAGAAGGAACTGTAATTAATCCCTCCCCATGTAGTGAACAGGAACTAAGGGGTATTCATGAAGTTCTTCATTAGAAATGTTAAGTTGAGCTGAAGAGGAAGCAATTAAAGGCCAAAGTCTTCATTGGACCGACTGGATTTGAAGGGAATTGCCCCATGCTAGATTTTAAAAAAGGGGCAGTGGCCATGCTGAAAGAGTACAGCAAGCATCAGTATACAAAAGCAATGGTGTGAAAGATGGCAATTCCAGGCTGTGTTTGATAGAGGCAACCCGGCTATAAATCTTTTGTTCTTTTTGTTTTCACAGTTTTGACCAGGAACTAAAACCAGAAGTATGGATAACAGTATGCTATTTCTGTAAGCTGAATTGTGGAGTTTGCGTGCATTGGCAGGCATAACAAAACATTCAGCATTTCTAAAAAGAACTCCTTTTTTCAACAGCAGTCAGGAGTTATCTGTCCTTATAGGCTTGGGTGCCACTTGCATAGTACACTACAGAAGAGCCTTCTGTCCCCTTCCCTGCCTCTCTGTTCTTAAATTAAGTTGCTGTAGTAACTATAAGCTATTGTATCTTTATAATCCCTTTATCAGAGAATGGGGGAAAAGAGAGATGGGAGAACAACCCCTCCCCATGTATTTTTTCCTCAATCTAATAGGAACTTACATCATCTGATCCTTGGTTAACTAACCTACAGTATTTATTTATCCACCCACCCACATGTTGGACATTCTAAAATCAATGGATTTAGAATTCCATTCATATAGGTGTCTTTATTCTGGATGTCCACAGTGAGTAAACATCAAGGGCAGGGTGTTCTGTATATTATGCTGGGGACAGGACCATTTACAATAATACTAGAACCTCTTTCACTTGAGTAACATATCTTTGAACTATATGGCACTGAAGAAAAGTGGCTACAAAACGAAGACAAAATGAAACATTTCTATATTGTGTTCTCTTGATTTAAATGGTACTGTTTGGTAATTAAGAAGAATTGCACTAAAGAAATTTCTGGCCCCTGTTTTCAATTTAAAAAACTGGTGTTGACAATCTGGTGGGAAAAAAGCCAGGATTGCTCAAAGCAAACCCACTGTCATCATGGAATCAATAATAAGAGATATTAAAAAGCTAGAGTTTGTTTTTAAATAATTTACCCCCCCCCCCGGTTATAGATGAGCATGGATGACTGTCCACACCTTTCTTAAAGTTTAATTTATACCTTCATTGGCTACCCCCTTGAAAGCCATTTGTGTGCATAGAGTAAGGGATGTAGTTTCAAAGAGGCACAGAAGAGGGCAGTCGTGCCTTACCCTAAAGAGATTTTGGTGCTTTATGGATGCACGCATATGGGAAACTGCTACCATCACAATGAAATCCTGTGCTTCAGGCTAAAGTATAAAGTAACATGTCTGCTTAGAAGAAGCTTTGACCAAAACATTCAGATATTTATTTTTCTGAGTATCTATTGACACTCAGAGATGACAAAACTGGCCATTCTGGGACTATATTACTATTAAGCTTGTTTTTGCATCATTTCACAAACTGGTAGCTGAGCAGAATATTACATCTAACCTTTCCCTAAACATCCAAAAAGGATTTAGGTTAGCATTTGTCAAGATATGATGGTAGTCTGTGTTTGGTTACAGGTTGGTTGTCAAAAGTACATAAACAATCATAGGGTGCAGTATTCCATTGAAGGATTTAGCAGCCGCCACCAAAGTGTAATGCATCTTGATCATGTTTGCTTATCTATCCAAATCTTTATATGAAGTGTGGTGTTCTGCTGTAAATGATTATTTTCATAACATTATTTAAAATTTATATTTCTATTATGTGAATTCTGAACATTTTCAAAAATACTTAATTACAGTGTTTTGTGATTTGGATCAATTATTAACAGTGGAACCAGGGCAAAATGTTCTCTTCACGAACACATAGGTTGCACGGTATTGTTGTCATTTGCCAGAAATATGGTCTTTGACTACAAGAATAATACGTGTGTGTGTGTGTGTTTTTCTGAGTTATCATTAATCAGGCAAAGGAGAAAAGGAGGGCATTAGCTTCAAAGACTGATAGGTCCACTTACAAATAAAAGTGATCACTAGGCTGTGTCTGCTCATTCTTTTTTGAATGGATTGCAAGTTCATGTGAAGTAAAAAGGGTAAGAAGAGAGATGAGTATATAATTGTTGCTGTAGCCATACTCACACTGTGTAATGACTCTTTCTCTTCCAAGGATCACCTCATTCATTTTTTCAAACCACCTTTTCATTCCCATTGTCCTTGTTTCTTCTTCAGTTTATCTTGGATAAGTTAGTTAGCTTGACTATCTTCCCATCAGTTTACTTTCTCCCTCCCATAATCTTCATTTAGTTTTTAAAGACAATAATTTGATATTTTAAAAGATTTTTGTAAAGACAAAATTTTGTAAAATGATTTGATTTTTCATTTTTACTTTAATTAAGGCTTCTTCCTCATTCGGTCATGCATTAAATTATTATATTCACTTCTGGTTTTTTTCAATTCTATGAACAATAATTGTAGAATTAATATGTATGTGTGTGCCTTCTTTCCATCTTTTGTCTTTGTCAGTAGTATCTCCCATATTCCACAATGATCCTATTGATAAGTGTATGTTTTTGTGTTAGTATATTAGTTAGTGCTCTTTTTGACTCTCTTCATTTGTCTTACATCTTGTATCTGTTACTCACAATGCATGGCATGTGGGTCTTTAAGGGGTGATTAGGCAGAGGTAGAGGCACTTGGAGGAAGAGTGATGTCTGACTTTCTCACGAGGAAGAGTCATGGTCCCCTCTCCCTAAAATTTAATGACCAGCATTTGGCACAGGTATTATTCATTTTGAATACAGAAGATTTTACTATTCTGGGAATGCAGAGAAGAAAGAAGAACTGGTAACAGCAGGACCAATAGAATCGCCATCACCGCTAACCTAGGAATAGTTCCAGAAGAAGATAAAGAAAATATCTTGGTTCTTCTATCTATGGCACTAGAAGAGGAGATGGTGATTAAGGAAAATGGTGGTGATATTTTGCTGAAGAATAGGATGCAGCAGAGTGACTTTTGACCCAGTGCTCTGCCATAATTCCCGATACTGTAACTTTAATGTCAAGCTCCATGATTCCAGCAGTAGACAGTGTTCCTGCAAAGAAGCTGGTTGAAGCAGAATTTAGGACCATTTTGAACCATTTGAAAATCTTAGCTATGCCATCTCTGTGCAGTGGAGAAAAACATGAATCAGGGGAAGTAGTTACAACATTAGAGTATTACAGTTTGCTTTTCTATCTGAAGAGGTGCCATCAGGCTAAGTCAGCAGATTGTGATATATAACATGAGCAGGGGCAAGTATGAGTCTACCTGATGGTGGTTTTCAATAGCAGCATGTGTGACCACCTCATTGTTAAGCAGAAAATTACAGAAATAGAATAACAATAGCACATGGGCTAAAACTCTTCGAGGAAGATATATAGGTACTTGAAAGAATAATATTACACAGATTCTTGAGAGTCACAGCAGGATGCAATCCTGTGATTAATGAATCTTCAAAATCTGCCTCTCCATCATTACTCTAGGGCAGGGTTTCCCAAACTGTAAGGTATATTTCCTTTGGAGAGGTGCAGTCAGAGTCCAGAGGTATGAAGAAATTTTTAGTTGTAAGTTCCTACAATAAATTCACCTTTCCCAAAGTTTCATTGTATGGTTTTCATTGTTCATATGTGTTCATTTGGTATTTGGATTTTTAAGGGTGGTGTGTACATTAAGATTACACTAAAGGGAGATATGATGGCAAAAAGTTTAGGAACCTCTGCTCTAGGACTTCTGGATTGGCCAATGATTATGTCAAACAGCAGAATGACTGGAGAGATTAAGAATCACCAGTGAAGAGATGGGTCTCATTCAAACTCTGCTCTGGAAGTGGTCCAAGGAAGTAGTTTTTATGATCAAGAGATTGCTTCCCTAAATGTACAAGATGTCTATGAATCCAGAGTAAAAATTGTGATCCAGTTTGAAAAATGTTGTGTGTCTAGAGATGCAGCCAGGAAATTATCCAAACTGGGCTTTGGGAGACGCACGTTACCATCCCTCCTTTCTTTGGCAAATGATCAGCCTGTTCTTTCTGTTCGTAGCAACTTGCTGCTTGAAGTTTGTGTGGTCTTATGGTGGAATCTGCTTCAGTCTACTCCTCTAGAGAAATTCTTGAGGATTGCCATGGGTGCCCAAGACATGGGGAATAAAAAGGAAGGTGATGTTTGGCACCCCAGACATTTTCTCAGTCAGAGAATATAGGAAAGAAAGAAAAAATACATACATACATGGGGGGATTTAAAATCAAATATTAATGGTAAAGGGCTTCAAATAATAGGCCAGAGCTAGGAGTAAATCAGGACAATTATCCCTTTGTGCAACCAAGGTAGGCTGGCTGTTTTCTAAAAAGAGGGTTTTGCTATGTAGTGGGTTGGGTGGATACAGGGCTACCCTATGTAATACTTAGTCTTCCTAGAGCAGTGATACAAGTCTAACGGACTTTGGCCATAAGAAAATTATGAATATAGAATATAGTGATGAATTTATTGTACTGTATTTTGAATATATTATTGTAGGACTGATAAGCTTATCTGGATTTTAACACTGTATTCCACTGTATGTAGCACAATTCATTTTCCAAACTGTTTGCTCTAATCTAGAGAAAGCAAGTTTGTGTTCCATTGATATCAACAGACTTAAGTTAGTTCAACAGTTCTTAAGTGTGACTAACAGTAAATTCTAGATCTGAATATAGGATCAAATTATATGTGAAGAAACCATCTGACATACATATGCCCACTAATATTTTCCCAGGCTTTATCTTCTTTAAACTTTGTTTACACTAATAAGTAGTCTGTTTAGCTTTTTCAAGATCAGTCAAGATTGAGTGTTACATGACCTTACAATTAAAACAAGATTTCAGTAGATCAGTACCGTTTTTAAGACAGCTACTTTTCTATGAAAATGTGAAAACACTCTCCTCCCTTGTCTTTATGGCCATATTTTGGATGAAAAATGTCTGTTGCATTCTTAAATAAGTCATTGAGAGTACAATGGGGCCTGAATGCCTCCTTGTAAATCTTACAAGCAACACTTCCTATCGTCTCTTGTGTTTGGGATATTGCAGAATTTGCCCATGAGGACATCCTGAGCTTAAAGATTCCTAGAACATGTGATTTCCAGGGCAATTGGAAAATTACATGTCCCAGAGCTCTGCTAATTTGCACTTATTCAAAAGATCTATTAACAATCCTGAACCAGAAAAGAATCTGTCAGAAAATGATGAATTATTCAAAATGCAGTCAAACTTTATGAGCTGGAAGAACCTGCATTTCAAACCAGGAGGCAATGAACTCAGAGATTAGCTTGCATATAACAGAAACCAGGTATATTATTTTGAGGTTCTTCAAAACCATCTAGTTGTCTGATTAAATAAAGCCAGTGGGGTCAATGCAAAGAGCAGGATTTTGATCTGTATGCCTCCTCATCAATATCCAAGCAAAAGAAAATACTGACTTTGGTGTGAATTTATTGTATAATTGGACTGCAAATTTTGTTTTGAATTTTTAGTGCTGAAGATGTGGTAATAAAAGTGACTGGAAGCCAACTAACAATTGAATACTTGGAAGAAAATGGATTCACAGAGCCTATTCTCATTCCAAAGAAGGATGGCTTGGGCTTATCTGTTCCTGCACCAACGTTTTATGTTAGTGATGTTGAAAACTATGTTGGTATGTATTGTTGTTGTTGTTGTTTTACAGTAGATATGAATAATCTCTGGGGTCATTTCCTACCAAATGGTTAGTACCAGTGTGCTGCTCAGGGACAATGGCAGCTATAGTCTGGAAGATATTTGATTGGGAGACTTATTTACCTTTTAATGTTGTTTCTCATTTTCATTTAAAAAAAATATCATCACGTTCTCCAAGTCATAGGGTCACACAGGCCATACTACAAGAATTGTACCTTGCAGCCTGGGTTCCTTCTTTACCTGCACAGTCTTTTCTTTCAGATTTAGTTTACAATTCAAAATGGCAGTCCTGATTTAATGTATCTGAAACTACAGCTTTAAATAAAGAGGAATACACAGATTATATTTCTGACTTTTAGGTGAAAGGGATACAGGTAGTCCTTGTTTAACGACCATTCATTTAGTGACTGTTGGAAGTTATGACAGTGCTGAAAAAGTGACTTACAACTGGTCCTCACACTTATGACTGTCACAGCATCCCCACAGTCATGTGATTGCCATTTGTGACCTTCCCAGTAAGCTTCCAACACACAAAGTCAATGGGGAAGCCAGCAAGAGGTCACAAGTCATGGTCACATGGTGTTTCACTTGATGACCTGAGTTATTCATTTAACAACCACAACCGGGACTGCTGGAACTGCTGTTGCTAAGCAGGGCATTCACATGATGTTTCACTTAATGACTGCTTCGCTTAGCGACAGAATTGCTGTTCCCAAGTGAGGACTACTGTATACAAATGCAGAATACTTTGTCATTCCACATATATAGCTACTGTCCTATTATTGTCATTTTGTTTTACAGCTTCCCTGTAGTATAGAGTATGTTGCCCACAGCCCTTAAGTTAAATTAAAATAAAATAATGAAACCATTAAAAATGGATTGAGTCCTGTAAGATCACCAAATCTGAAGATTTTAGTATCTCTTTTATGTCCTACCCCTTTTGTCTTGCTTTTATTTGACCACTAAGCTTTGTGTGCACCTGAAGGTCAAAAGGGAGTTCATATGCCTTGTAAAAGCTGTATCAGGGTGATATTCTTTGTACCAGGCCCATATCACTACTGGGGAAGTCAAAGCTACAAATCAATTTCTAGAGATGCAGTTGTTAGTATATTAGAAGGCTACTGCCACTGTTGACAATATGATAATTTCTCCTATATTAATCCAGTACTCTAGCTTGAAAGAATCATCCTCATCCTATTGTATAGTCTGGACTAATCAACACTTTATATTTAATTATGTTTGCATATAATCTGTGTAATCTTCTATACCTATCTACCCCTTGTTTCCCATTATTTTATTTAGGATTCCCAGGGTCAACCAAAAATTAGTTTGATGACAAGGAACTTAATCATACTTTGAGTGTTCTTCCTATGGCACAAATTTCAGGCATTTAAAAAATGTTTAATTCTTCTTTTTTAAAAATTGTAATGTTATAGCATGTTATAGTATATATGGCATTTAAACTAACAACCCTGATCATGTACTTCCTGAACATACAATAATGTAAGACAAATATATTTGCATTTTTCCTTTGTGACATTATTATGCTGGTGTATCACATAAAAATTGCAACCAAAATTTTATAGCAGTTCCCATCCAATTTGTACCTAGTGGGAATATCATGTTTGCTGATCCATCTCCTGTCCTTAGCAGATTTTGCTGCATTATCTGGATGCTTTTAGTCTCTGTTGTCTGCTTTTCTGTCTACCAGCTGAAGTAACCCTGTGCTAGCCAAGAAGCGCTGTAGTCATAAGCAAAAGAACAAAGCAAACTGTTTAGCCTACGGATCTACTATTGGCCTGATTGTCAGGTTCCCCTAACCAGGACCCCCTACTAAAATACAGCCCTCCTTACACTTCATAGCTAGCCTTAACTAGGCAGATGACTCACCTGGGTAGGTTAGTATTGTTATTGCAGACAAGAATGAAACCACATATCACACAACAGTTGATGCAATGCAAAAATGTCAGGGATGGGTGTGTGTGTGTGTGTGTGTGTGTGCGTGTATTGGGTTTAAATTCAAGACTTCTTCCTCCT